GGAGATTTATGGAAGATCAGAGGCATTGAGAAAAAGGTTATATTTAAAATAAATATATTATATGGAATTTATCGTTACTGATAATGGACATGATTAATTTTATTAACAATTTGCTATGGATTCTGCCAACCCAAAAATGTCGTGGTTCTACTTCTTTTGATTAGGTTGACTATAGACGTCTCCTCTGCTTCTGATTGTTGCTTTCTCATCCCCTTGCGATCTCTTTTTTAAAAATTAAGGATATTACCTTGATCCAGTCGTCTTTTTTTCGCTCATCTTCCTGTTGCCTGATCTCCGAGTTTGTTTAGACAATATGCAAAGTTTTCGCTGATCCTGCCTTATTCAAGTCTCCTGTTCATTAGATTTCTCTCTTTCAGTATTTCGAAGGCCTTTCGGATCTTGCGTTTTCACCACATGCAGCCAACATTTCTGTCGATTTCCAGTTTATTTCGTGCCCCGTTCGTGCAATGTGTTCCGCTATTTCGGATATTTTCGTATCCATGTTCCTGCCGAGTCTTTGATGTTCCTTGATTCGTAGGACGATTTTTTTTCATGTTTCACCTGTATACTTCTGCTCACAGTTGCCGCATTTGATGCGACGATCGTAACCGTGAAACAAAGGAGAATAAAACACTTTTCACAAGTCTGCTAACGCAACACGAGAAGACTGACTCGGGACTTTATCGCATTAAAAGGGGCAACTGTGAGCAGAAGTATATCGGTGAAACAGGAAAAAAAATCGGCCTACGAATGAAGGAAAGTCAAAAACTCTACAGGAACATGGATACGAAAAGATTCGAAATAGTGGAACACATTGCACAAACAGGACACGAAATCAACTGGAAATCGACAGAAAGGTTGGCTGCATATGGTGAAAATACGAGAAAACGCAAGATCCGAGAGGCCTTCGAAATACTGACCTAGAGAATTCTAATGAACAGAAGACTTGAAAAAGGCAGGATCAACAAAAACTTTGAATATTGCCTAAACAAACTCAGGAAGATTAAACAACAGTAAGATCAGCAAAAAGAGGACGATTGGATCAAGTTAAAATCCTTAATTTTAGGAAAAGAGATCGCAAGGGGATGAGAAAGCAACAATCAGCAGCAAAGAGGAGACGTTTTCAGTGAGCCTGATCAAAACAAGTAGAATCACGACATTTGTGGGTAGGCACACAAGAGACTTTGACGTAGTAAGCGATGGATATAGTATTACAGATAGAAACAGGAAAGACTAAATCCATTTTGGCTAACAATAGACGTGTTTGATCATAAACGTGATCCTTGAACCACGACTCTTGTTAACCAATTAGATCTAGCTTCCACTGTTTCAATCCTCTTTCTATCCATAATACCAAGTCTCTGATTTCTTATGCCCTAGTCTCTTGTGTGCCAACCCACAAACGTTGTGGTTCAACATTGAACCTAAACAAAGCCAG